GTCAAAAAGACAGGGATCAAATAGTCTGTTTGGCTTTGCTGGTGACAAAACTGACAGGCAGTCTAGACCTCAGACAACTATAATCCACACTGACAAAAACAGCAGCCATCAACCCTGGGGCTTAGCCCTTTACTCAAGTTAACAATTCCATCAAAAACCAGTGCATCCCTTTAATCCAGAACTGAGTTAAAGGCCAACCTGTCTACATATTGAGACCCCATCTTTAAAACAAAACAGATCCAGACCACCAGTACTTAAGAAATTGAATTGTTTATATACTAAGCCATTAACCTGAAGCTACTACAATCATTAAGTCAACTGGGTTACCAAGGCCTAGGTCTATCTCACTCCTGATCAAAAACTTGAGCAAACAACCAAAGATAACATATAATCTCACCCAATTCCTTAAATTAGGGAGTGAAGCAAGGGTTGACAGCAATAGGCATTAACTTACAGATGCAAAGTGAGAATAAAGGTTTTTAAAGAGACAATTAAATCTTACCTTGTTCAACCTGCCTGTGAGGTTCACGACAATTTTCCCAGCTCTGTGGTCATCGATGATTTCAAACTCACCAATGTAACCTATAAACCAAGTGACTAGTATCAAACCTAAGGCACTAGTCCTAAACCACACGCCCCCGGCACCACTTTTTGCCTACATTTTTCTCCCTTGTATCTGATTCTGTAGCATAATTTTTAAAACTCTGCAACACATTAAGAATTTAGGAGTTAACAACTAAAACCATTTCTGGTATGACCATTTCCCCTTCCCTCCCCAGTATTCAGTGGTATACTCCCAATGGCCAGGCAGACATTAGGAAAATCTTTCCTCCCCAACTCAGTCTGGTTTGCAGTGTCCTGTGTCATATAAGTACAGACACAAACTCACTTTTCCCAGTGTCACCAAAATATCCAGGTTTAATCTGTACTACCCTCTCTCCCAGACCCACATTAATTCCCAGGTGTAACGACTCTGCCTTGGGAACCTACACATAGGACAATTTCCTTAGTCTGTCAAAAACCCAAGACACCAATACTCACCATGCTTCATCATCACGGTTAGGAACCTGACGATGACTTTGGAGCAGGGCCTGATGAGGACCTGACGTTTGCCTCTCTTCTCAGCATTGTTGATGCTCTTCAGAGCATCAGCCAGGACATTCATGCGCACCATGGCGGCTGAGGAAATAACAGAGTTTGCTTGCATCAACATCCAATCACGCCTCTATCAAACTTGTCTTCCTATGGCCACCACTAAATCTTCTTAGGTCTAAGCAACATTCCCAACACCCAGGAAACGTTCATTACAACTTACTGACGGTTCTGCACTCTTTATTCATTCAAGACATTCATGCTCGTAACACCCAGCACACAAACAGCTGGAGAAAATGACACAAACCAAGACGCACTACAAAGACAACTTTAGAAATGGTGGGGCTTATCACCTAGCCAAACGGAAAGTAAGGGGAGACTGTCACTAGATCCTAAGTTTAAGCTTTGGCAACGTCTGCCAATAACTTCCAGGTCAGCAGTGTCAGCCGTTAACACGACTTAAATCAACTCACTTTCAGGTAACCACTTAACACACTTCCAACAAAAAGCCTCCCAGGAGCAGAGGCATTACGTGACAGGACACCCAAACGGCTTCTTGGACAGCAGAGCTGCTCTCACAGCTCGTAGGGACGCAGCCAAGGCATGTTTCACGTGCCAAGAGTAAACCCCGACTCGCCTCCCTAACTTAGCTGGGAGTGGGGCTGAAACCCCGGTACCAATACTGGCCACGGCTGCGTGGGGTGCTCGAGACTCTGAAGCGCCCGCAGACACGGGAAGCAAGGCCCACGCCGGCCACCGTTCCCGCCGGCCCGAGCGGAGCCCTGCCTGCAGCCGTGGGCCAGCTCCCAAAGGCGCGGCCCATGGCGATCCCGACCCGGACAGGCGGCGGATGCGATCATGGCAGGGCTCAGTGTGCCCGCGGGACTCCGAGGCCGAGCCCCGGGTAGAAGGACGGCTCGGATGCCGGCGGATGAGCACGGAGCTTCATAGAGACGAACTCACCGGCGCAGAAAGATGGCGGAAAGAGGGTGGGCGGGCTGAACGCACGGAGTTATGGGAGGCGGAAGTGCTCTCGCGAGACTTCATGATCACACACCAAAGGAAAAAAAACAGTGTGGGTGATTTCTTATAGGAAGATCAATGCAAGGGCGGGCTCGGAACGGAAGAACTGAACTCTTAATTCTTTAGGTCTTATGCTGTAGCTCAAGGTAGCTTGAATATCCCGGCAGTCCTCCTGCCTCAGTTAGGGTCCTGGCATTACACCACAGTCGGCTTTTTCTTAGGTTTGTATTTTGTTTGAGATTATTAAACTCACTAGATAGCTACGGCTGTGCTGAAGCTATATAGACCAGGCTGAGAACTTCTACCTCCCTGATTTGCCTGCCTCTGCCTCCTAGTGCTGGAATTCAAGGCGTGCAGCACAACACCTGGCTTTTGGGGTTTGATTGGTTTGTTTTGGGTTTGCCCTTTGTGAGACTGGAACTCAATCCGCAGATTCGTGTAGTCCTGACTCAACATCTCAAGTAGGGATTACTACCATGGTCCAGTTTTTCTTCTCCCATTCTTCAGGCTTTTATTATGTAGCGCGAGCTGGCCTCAAATTAGTAATCACTTTACCTCACCTGCCTGGGAACTGGGGTTACACCAGCAACGAGTTTATTGAATCCTAGCCTGGACCATTAAGTTTCAAGCCAACAGAGGTTTAATAAGCTTTGCTTATTGTTATGGGCACAAAGTGTGGAAAGGCAACTGCCACATAGTAGGCCCTCAGTACATAGCTGATGGACAAATCAGTTTCTCCATCGTTAAAACAGATCACACCAATCACTTGGAGTTGCTTTGATCACACTGGCAGTGGTGTTCAGTGTGGTGGACATTAACTTAAGGCCCCAGCCATCCCTCACCTCATGAGAACCTTCACTGCCTATCATATCACACGAAGCACAAGGACCATATGGTTTGTGTGTGTGTGTGTGTTTTTCCAAAGTTTATTAGGATTTTGAACACAGGTCTGGCTATGGAATTCAGACAGGCCTCAAACTCACCATCCTCCCCAATTCCCTTGGCATACTAGCTCCTTATACACTTGCCTTGTTGTTTCCTACAAATGAGCAGTTTGCTTTCCTTTACTGCTTTAGCAAAGGACTAGAGTTAGGAGAACATCTCTTATTTTCAGGGTTTTTGTTATTGTCCTTTTCTCCAAGACAGGATTTCTCTATGTAGCCCCAGCTGTGCTGGAACTCACTCTGGCGACCAGGCTGGCCTAGAACTCATGGAGATTTACCCCTGTTCCTGGGCAGAGTGCTGGGATAAAAGACTACTACCTGCTACCACCACCAGCTGGCAAAGATTTATGTATTTTTTTAAGTACTGTCTTTGTGTATGACTGAATGCCAGAAGAGGGCATCAGATCACATTGTAGGTAGCTGTGAACTACCATATGGTTGCTGGGAACTGAACTCAGGACCTCTGGAAGAGCAGCCACTACTCTTAACAGCTTAGCCATCTCTCCAGCCCCAACATCTATTTCCAATGGCTTTCTTTCCATAGGAAGTATGTACACTCTGTATATTGCATCACTCCTTTACTCAGCTAATATCTGAGTGCCTAGCATGTGACAGCTGTAGTTCCTCCAATCCTTAGGAAAGTCCGATTATGGCCAGAGACAGACAGCTAATCAGGATAGGACCAGAGCCATACAATGAGGAACTGTGAAGCACTGAGGATGTAGGTTACCTGGGCAGTTTCCTCAGCTTTCCCAAAGGGACTGCTTCCATAAGCTTAGCTCCTAACAAATGCTGGGATCTGTGATGTTGCCTCAATTTCAGAGATAAGAAAACTGTCATCTTAAGTGAACCTGATATGAAAACTTGAGGAATTCAAAGCAAAGTGGAGATGGGCAGTGGGGTGGGAGGATACTAGTTAGATTCCTTGCTGAGGACTTCCCTACCTGAGCCCACAGGGTCTTGATATGTAGGCTTGGTGAGTCACAGCATCTGGATGGCTCCACACTAGAGGGAACTTGTGTAGAAATGGGTAAGAAACTCAGAATGCTGGGCAGAAGGGAAGTGGAACAAAGCCTGTAGGAACTGTAATACATGTTATTTGTTAGAGGGAAACTACAGAACCTGATGAAAGGTGAGCAGCTGGCTTTTAACTACTGTGGAAACCCTTTAAATACTAGGATGGGTGAAGTGACTGATACAGGACTGGAATCCTAACACTTGGGAGCTGAAGGCAGGAAGGTCCAAGGTCAGTCTGGGCCTTATATGAGACTGTCTAAAAACACCAAAGACCATTCTTTTCTTCTTAGCCCAGCTCATTCCAAATGTCTTCACATGAGCCTTGGAATGATAGACCCTCTTGAAAACACTCAGAACAGTCTTCAAGGCTATGGCCTTGGCTATGGCCAGAGGTAGCAAAGGATGGCTATGGTTTCAGGCACATATAGCTGACCTGAGCAGTTGCCACAGATGCATGATTAAAGGCCAATGATTCTTTTTATGATTTTGAACCAAGTTTTCCTATGTAGTCAAAGCTGAGCTTGAGATTACAAGGGAGCAATTTCAAAGCCTCAGACAACCACAGGAGTTCTAATGATCTTGGCTTGAGACCTCCAGCTTCTTTTCTGAGACCCCCAAGTTATAGCATCCAACTTGAGGTGTAATTTCAAAAGGCAGACAAAAGTCATCTACCAATCATTATCAACCACCTGTGTTGGAAGCAAAAGTACAAGCTCTTTTGGGCCTCTTCTGTCCCTGCTAATTCCTCCCCTCAGACCTTGGGGTCCTCTCCTCTTCAGTGTTTTCCATTCTAGATAGCATAGTGCCTGGGTGTTCCTTTTAAGAGTACCTTAGGGTGGAGGGCTTATAATGACAACAGGGGGGTTACTAATCAGATTCATAAACTCAAACAATTAACAACAAAATTGAGACAAAACAAAGTGGTCCCAGCATTTTTGTTTTTATTTTTCCCCTTTTACACAAAACAAAGTAGAAGAAATGATCAAAACTGCCAAAGTAGTTAATTGGTAGAACATGTATTGTTCACACATACACACACACAAAATTCCAGGTAGGAAGACAGGCTTATTTACAAGAAAACATGTAAAATTAAGGTGGATGTCATGAAACATTAAAAACAAACACATGCTCCAACAGGTGCCACTGTTTACAGTGCTAGGAGGTGAGAAACAGAGGCAGATGCACAAGGTGCAGGCTTCACAGCATCAGTGCAATGGATCCACAAACTATGTTACAGAGAGTTCATGGGTTGAAAAGTTGTTCCCAAATGTGTCCTATTTTGGCCCTCAGAGGTTCAGTTCTGAAGATTTCAACTGCTCTAAAAGTCAATCTACTGAAAGGGCATGTGATCACAGTAAGCTTAAGGAGTTACAAATGCTACACAGAGCAGTCACCCATCAGCAGTCTGCTCTCAGCTACAACCCTGCAAAGGGAAAGTCAAACACCAGTGTAGACACTGCTTCCACGTGTAAACCTAGAGCCACTAAAATACAGCCAGCATCACCGGGCAGGTGGGGTGAGAATATATGAGAATTTCCGGGCTTACTTTTAAAGGGTTTTTTTTTTTTTTGTTTTGTTTTTTTTTTCTGGTCTTAAAAAGTAATAGATGTTCTAGTTTTCTGAATGAACAAAGGAGGCATTTATATCCTTGGCTGGCCTAGGAGTAAAGTCCCAGACATTTTAAGTCAGCTGAAAATCTGGAACAAAAGAATGCTAAGATTTCCAAATACAATCTTCTGGAAGTTTGTTGTTCAAAAGCAGTGCAAAGGGAATGAGAGGTCAGTCTAGACTGACAGATTCCTCATGTGAGCAAAGGGGCAATGCTTCCTACACCTGCTACATTTCATACAACAGAAGAACTCATCTATTAACTAGGGTGTGGAATTTTATACTATCACATGGATATTCTCCCACAGTGGAAAATCAGGAATGAATCTTAAGTGGTCTCTTCATTGAAAGTGGTAAACCTGGTCTCTGTACTAACAAAGATACAATGTTAAGCAGACTGTGGAGGCGGACAGTAGAACCAGCTTCCTGTAGCCACAGACCACTACCTTGAATATAGCTAAAGCAAACATCAACAATTAACCAAAATCACAGTTCACTGTTCAAAAGAGCAAAGTTCACCACTTTAGTTTTTTAAAGGAAGTTGATAAAAATAAAAATTCAATAAAACAAGTTATACTGATGGGAATACACCCAGCTACACCTGGCACTAGACACAGTACAAAGCCTGGCCTGTGTGAATCTCTACTAACAAGGGCAGAGTAAGGAAGCAAAGAGCCACTATAACATTTTAGTATCCAAACAGCACTGTACAACTGTTCCCAGGGGCAGGGCTCACTCCACTGAAGCTGCGTTATTCATTTTTCTTTTCTTTTTGCTTGAGAAGCTTGTTTATCTCCCTTTTGGCCATTCCAATGTACTTCAAAATGATTCCGTGTTGGTTTAATCCAGGAAGCAACAGCACAAAAGTCACTTGAAATAAAGAAATGAAGTGAGGAAACAGTATTTAACTCACAGACAAAAGCAGGTAGACTCTGGAGGAAGCAACATGAAAACCATTCAGTCCCAGAAACTTCAGCTATCATGCTTTCTGCTGTCTGTGCATTCATGCTCATGCACTATGCTTTCTATCTTAACCCCCTTGCCTTCACTTCCCATAAGGTTTTAATAAACTCCCTGAAAACAGGGCCATACTTCTTTAAGATTTTTGTTTTATTTTTGTGTATACACAAGTGATTTGCCTAAAAGCTGGCTATTAGACACCCAAGACTGGATATGAGCTGTTGTGAGCCAGCATGTGAATGCTGGACATGGAACCAAACTAGTGCTTTTACCCAAGAAGCCCTATCTTAAGACCTGACTTGAAATCTTTTTGCTCTTGAGAAGAGATCTCAGCCAGGCAGCTGTAGTGAATGTTTTTAATCCCAGCATTTGGGACACAGAGACAGGCCGATCTCTGTGAAATTGAGGTCAGCCTGGTATACAAAGTGAGTTCCAGGACAGGCTCCAAAGCTACAAAGAAACCTGTCTTAAAAAACCAGACAGAGAGAGAGAGAAAGAGAGATTGAGAACCAAAGAGAGAGGAGAAGAGGAGAGGTGAGAAGAGGGAGGAAGAGGAGGGGAGAGCAGGGGAAGGAAAGAGAGGAGAGGAGGGGAGGGGAGGAAAGGGAAGGGGAAGGGAAGAGAGAAGAGGGGAGGGGAGAAAGAGGGAGAAGAGGGAGGGAGGGAGAGAATCTCGTATAGCCCAGGCTGATTATGAATGTGACATATAGCACATAGCCAGGGATGACCTTGAACTTCCGCTCCTTCTGCCATCTAGGTCCTTAGTGCTGGGATTAGTTTTTGTCTAGTATTGGGTATCAAATCTAGGGCTTGGAACACATAGAGCAAGCACTCTACCATCTGAACTATGACCCCAGCACAGGCTAGAGTCTTCAGTCTTCACCTTGCTACATTCTTCCACAGGTTCCTATGAATATTCACTATCTACTTACTGCCTACACTACAGACTTGCCTGCTAAGATTCATGTGTGACACTTCCTCAATGACTTACCAATCAGGTAGGTGAGAAGCAGGTTGTGGACTTGCTGTCCCACCCAAGCAACCGCAGCAAGAGAAACAATCATGGTCATAAAGTACTGTTGAGGAAAAGAACAAGACTTGTCAGCTCTAAACAGCAGACTAACAAGGGCAGCTCTGAAGGTGTGCTTCTCCACTCTACAATGCACAGGTGACCAAAGCACGAAGGCTGCTCTCACTCTACATACAGAGGACCAAAACATCATGATATACTCCATACACATATAGCTTCACTTGTGGGCTTAAACAGATTTCCTTTAAAGGCTGGGAAAATAAGATCATTTTTATTACTTTTCTTTTATTAAATGTATGTACATTTCCTCTTTAAAATATAAACTATGTTACCTTTCCAGTTAGCAACTTTCCACCAAAACCAAAGCTAAGATATAAGAACATGTTTTTTTGTTGTTATTTTCTTTTTGGTTTTTTGATACAGGGTTTTTCTGTGTAACAGCCTTGGTTGTCCTGGAACTAGCTCTGTAGACCAGGCTAGCCTCAAACTAACAGAGATCCACCTGCCTCTGCCTCCTGAGTGCCGGATCAAAGGCATGAGCTGCCACCGCCACGCAGTTTGAGAACATGTTTTTTATGTATGTGTTTTACTTCAGCAAGGGGGAGGGGGGACTTACATCCACTATAATAAGAAGTTACATACAAAATGTAAATTTTACCTTTCAGTGCTTTAGCTACCACGTGTAACACTTATAAATATATGTAGGCATTACACCAAAGGATAGTAAGTAATGAACTTCACTCCTAAGAAGACTGAAATCATTTGAACTGAAATCACTATGAACTCAGTATTTTGCTTCACATTCCAGTAAGTTAAATAAATAAATTAACAAGTAACAAAATACCATTTTAGGCTTTTCTTCCTTTAGCGAAAAGAGGCGTTTCCACCAGCCCACAGCTCTTCGTCGAATTTTTACTAGATTACTGCAGATTTCATGAAATCTTTGCTGTTGTTCAGTGGTCCTAGAAAAGAGTTTTCTTTTTGTTATAAGTAAATAACTACAGTACAGTTTATTTATAGTTATTTAACTTTCCTGAGAAAGAATCTCACTCTAGCTGCCCCTGAACTCATGATCCTTCTGCTAGGATTATAGGTATGAGCCACAACACCGGAGCAGTTCAACTTCTGATCTATCTACTTCCATCTTCCAAGTGCTGAGAACACAGTTGGGAGCATCCACAATGTGGCAAGAATTATCTTCACAAGTAGAAACAATGGATCACCACTGACTGCAATTTTTAAAACTTGTGTTACCTGTACTGTATGTGTGTAAGTGTTTGCCTATATGTTTGTCTAACACATATATGAAGTGCCTGGCGCCTACAGAGGCCAGAAGAGTGTTAGATCCCATTGAAGTCAAGTTGTAGACAGTTGTGGGTGCTGGGAATCAAACTCAGGTCAGTCCTCTAAAGTGAGGCAAATATTCTTAACCTCTGAGAACTTTCCAGACCCCAGAGTGACTACATTTTAAGACTCCTTTCACAGTATGTCCATGCACATATTTTTTGCTACACATTTTATTTATTTTATGTGGGAATGTGCATACATGTTATGAGGTCACAAACCTGTGTACGTGTGTGAGAGGAAAACCTATGGGAGTCATTTCTCTCCTTCCACCATGTGGACCCCAGGTTTCAAGCGCAGGTAATCAGGCTTGCTGACAGGCACCTTTGCCAGCTGACTCACCTTACCAGCCTTTGTGTACATACTTCTAATAGATTAATGGTACAGTTCTAAAGCCACATTTGATTAACTATAGTAACAGAAGTTGAATCTTCTATGAACTGTATCCATGGTACAAATTTTGTTTTTCTATTTCAGTTTATTTTTCAGCCCCAAGTATATTTTGCATTGTGCCCATCATCAGTGAGTGCTCTAAGTAGCTGCATCCAAGTATCTGTAGTAGAATAACTTCTATACCAGGTCAGCAGGATGGTCAGAAGATAAAGATGCTTGCTGCCATGGCTGGTTCGATCCCCAGAACCCACATGAGATTGAACAATCTCTGGAAAGTTGATGACTTCCACATGTGCCATGGTATGTGTGCACGTGAGTGGGTGGGTGGGTGGGTGGGTGGGTGGGTGCATGTGGGTGGCAAACACACACACTTGAATACTTGCACGAATGCATTCACTCACACACTTTAAAAAATAAAGGCTAATCCAAATTCCTTCTAAACTCAGTTCCAGTGAGAGAAAATGAAAGCAGCAACAAAACTGATAGGCCTCTCTTAAGAAAGCCATATTTTTTTCATTTCTAATCTGTCCCTCTGCTATTTTGTGTCACAGGTCCAGCACTAAAAAAGATCAGACTGAGGACCAAGCTGCCCTCTCTCCTGTAGTGTTAGCCTGGCACAGATGTGGGAGCATGTCTCAGATTATCCAAGATGCCCATGGTAAAGGCTACACTGTGGCTATAGTGTTACTTCTTTCCCACATCATCCCAGATAATCAAGACATACAACTTGCCCCATGTATGCTATTACCACCAAATATCTGTTTCTCTCTGAAGATTTCCCTTCGGGATTATGAGTTAGTCAACTGTTATTTGGCTAATGTCAAGGCCATAAACTTCCCCAAACATAACAGCATTAAACTCCTCATGAAAAAGGAAGACCAGTTTGAGTAACAACTCCTAAAACTGGCCCCATTATTCTTTAAAGAAACATGCTTACTTAACCCACAATTTAAGTTAACTCCCCAGATTCTGTGAATTTGTTTTTCCAGATCTGAAAGATATACAATAAAGGCTCTCAGTGTTTGCAGATTACATAACTTGCTGTCACTTGGAAACCCCCCCCCCCCGAAAAAAAAAGAAGGGCAGAGGCAGAATACTAATCAAATGAAAATGTCAGTTGACAGAAAAATCTATTCCAATATCTGATTCTGTTCATTATGTGTGCTCTTTCCTTCCTCCAGCAGAGAACAGAACTCAGGGCACCATGTGTTCTGGGAAAGCAGCCTTAATACTAAGCTCTGACAAATCCAACATTCCAATGGACTATCAAACAGTTAATGTAATCCCAACCATTTAACTATTGTCTTAGAAGTAATAAGCAACCATTCAGATGATAAAAGTAAGATCAACAGCTCATGTGTATCCAACAGTAGAATTTACTCTTCTCTACTCAGAATGCACTTGGTCAAATACCCACCCCTGTATTGTCTCAAGGCACAACCTCACTCAGCCTTAAACACAATATCCCTCTTGGTTTGTTTTGGGGGATGTAGGGAAACACTGGGTGTGGTATCTGGGTAACAAAGACAGGCAGGCTCACAGCTTGTTATGTGTTTGGAGCCTACTCTGGCCTCATAACATATTGTCTGTCTGTCATCCGGAGTACTAAGATTAGAAGTGTGCACCAAGCCACACAGCTTAAAAGATCAACTCTAACAATTAGGGTTTTTTTTTGTTTTTTTTTTTTTTTTTTTTTTGAGACAGGGTTGTCTGTGTAGCCCAGGCTGTCCTAGAACTCAGAGATCCAGCTGCCTCTGCCTCCCGAGTGCTGGGATAAAAGGTGTGCAACAATAGAAGGCAAGAACTGACACCTGGGTGTCCTTCAAGCTGACCTAATACTGTTGTTTGAGGAAAGTTTGTGACTGGACAATGTAAGGCACTGAACAAGAGAACCAGCCACTGACCCTGACATCAGGTTGTTTGTCCTCATGTGTATACTCTCACAAATGAGGACTCATACAAATCAAAGAGACACATTTAAACAAACAAGTTCAAGGTCCATTAAGGGGCTGGCTTGGTAGGCAAAGTTACATGTTGCAGAGTCTATTGACTTGAGTTCAGCCACCAAGATCCACATATGGTAGGAGAGACCAAACTCTACGAAGTTACCTTCTGATCTCCACATGCATGTTATGTGGTACCTGCAATCCACCCCAAATAAATAAATATGTGTGTGTGTATACATACATATACATATATATACATATATATTTTTTTTTTAAAAAAACAAGAGTTCTGTAATTCTTATTTAAAACATCAACTTTAAAGAATACCCCTACCATAGGTGGGACACGCCTTTAAAGCCAGTACATGGCAGGCAGATCATTGTGAGTTTGAGGCCAGACTGGTCTACAGAGTTAGTTCCAGGACAGGCAGGGCTGTACAAGAAACCCTGCCTCAAAAAAACCAAAAAGAAAGAAAGGAAGAAAGAAAGAAAAGAAGAAAGAAAGAAAGAAAGAAAGAAAGAAAGAAAGAAAGAAAGAAAGGAAAGAAGGAAGGAAGGAGGGAGAGAAGGAGAGAGGCAGGCACAGGTGGATCTCTGAGTTCAGCCTGATCTACAAAGTGAGTTAAAGGAAGCCAGGGATACACAGAGAAACCCTGTCTTTAAAAAAAATAAATAAATAAAACCACAACAAACCCTTACTTCAAGTGTAAAAGTAGTAAAACTGAATAAACATCAACAACAACAAAAAAGCAAGTTTTTAACCAAAGTGAAATACAGAGATATAAGTACTGAAAATTCTTGACTCATCTGAATTCCGATTAGAGATTTTTCACATAAGAGCAATGAGGTGTCTGATGGTTATAAGTCTTCACTTATTCACAGTACATTAATCATACATGGCTACCTACCATTTATTAGAGCCAAAAATCCTCGGTGCTAGAATGGGAACAAGGTAGTCAGCCAGGCACAAAAACATAACAAAACAGGAAGCACCGGACAGCACAGATGGATCGAGATAATAGATAATCCTGTTAAAAACAAAATTAACCAAAGTTAGCAAACCACTTGTCATTGTTCCTGACTAAAGGTGTTTATTCCCTAACCCACAGCTTCTCAAGGATGGTGCTGTTTCCTTTCTAATTTCCTAAGTGGTTTTTAAGATGTATCATGGGATGATGTCTAGGGTCCACAATCTTTATTAGAGAATATAAAGGAAAGGTGTTGAAACACAAAACTATGAGTGTGTAGGATTTACTCAAGTGTATTAGGTTACACTTTACATAAGGATTACAAATTCTAGAAACTAGGCAAGCTACTTGTAATAAAAGCATTCCTTTTGGATTAAGTATTACAAAAGCGTCTCTAAGCATAGGCTGTGAACCATCTGAGCACTTAGCAATAGAACCCCTCACTTACAGAAACAGCAGGGAAACAACACCCATGATGGCAGGTGGAAACCATGCTCTTTCCCATCGAAGGACTTTGTCAGCCATCAGCATCACTTCTCCCCATCCTTGCAGCTGCTCTTCCAGACCTGCAGTCTCCACAGCCTACACAAGATCAACAGTTAAGAGGGTTGTTACTTTACCAATTTCATCATTCTCACGGCTCATAGAGTAAAAGCCTAAAGTGTCAAAACGGTTATCCCAAACAAGCTGAGTCATGAAAAACTGTGATTCTGGCACCAAACATGAAAACGCATGGAGGGTGGGAGAAAGCCCAACCTTAATGATCACCAGCACTGAGCCTTATGTACATGACGCAACATAATACTCCCTAAGTTTCACAATATGGAGAAATATTTCAATATTAATGAAAGTGAGCTTAATATGGTTAACTAATATCCCCAAATTCACCCACAGAGTCATGAGGCAGTGCTCAGAATATTACTAAATTGGATACTCTTATGTTTGCTCATTTCAGGTGGTTGGCATTGATCTGCTGATTGGTCATTTTATTGATTTAAGCCCTTCTAAATTCATCAGGAAAGCAATCAGTACATACAATCTCTAAAATAGCTCTTTGTATAATGGAATTATTCCAATGCTGGCAGTCTCTGTGGAATTAAAGAAAATTACTTGAACAAAATTATGTGAAGCACTTAAAGTCCTCCATAAGGGCTCCTCATCGTTGGTGATGTCATTTTGGCTAAATTTCAAATTTCTCTACATATTTGACAACTAGTAAAAGCACACTTTTAGGGTAAGCTATTGACCTAAACCCTTCAGGGACTTTGGTAAAGGAAGGAAATTAGAACAAGAAGTTGCTCAATGTGTATAGGGCCCTGGATTCAACCTCCAAGAACCACATACATACAATGGTCAAATGACACTTTAAGCTTTTCAAAAAGGAATATTGGAATGATAGGACACAGTCCAGACTGATTTTAATAAAGATGAAATCTGTGTCATAATACTTCTGATTCTATATTACATGCCTAAGGCTGATATCACCCCAAACTAGAAATTCTAAACAGTTCACATTCTATAATTCAATTAATGCGCCTCAAAACGGGAAACAGTATTTCTACCACCTCTATTTAAGATGAGGAAACTGAGACAAAAAGAGGTTAATACATTTAAATCCAGTAAATGTAAGATTAATGGCCTTGCTCTCCTTAAAATGATACTGCATTGATGGAAAGTTAAATTTGTGATCAGGTCCTCTCCCATGACAATTTCCTTTTACATCAATTATTCCTCTTACTGGATTGTTAGCTGGTGTATATGTGTGTTGTGTAGGGCAAGTATCTCTGTTGGATTGTTTGCTGGTGTCTGTGTCAGGAAAATTTAAGGGAACAGGGTAAACATCTCTAAACACCAATGAAAAGTGAAGATTTTGCTCAGTCCTGTAGTGACTACTGTCCGGTAGACATTTAACTTGCTGGCATTTAGGCTCTTAGAAGCGCAAAAGCAGAAGTTAAGCTGGTTGGTCTCTTCATTTCTAATATGGCCTGTCTTTCCCTGGGGAATGAGTACAGGGGAAATAAAAGGATCTCTCGCTCTTGCCTAGATGATACCATTACATTTGTAAAACTAGCAGGGCCTGGTGATGCACAACTGTGATCCCAGCACTTGAGTGGTAGAGACAGGAGAATGACAAATGCAGGGCCAGCTTGGCTACATGAAACCCTGGTCTCAAAACAAAACCAAAAACCTGTAATGAGGCAAATGTTTCCTCGTTTGATACCACCTCATGCTGTTCCTTCAGATCTATCCGTGCCAATCATTTTTAAGTTGCGTCCAGTATCATGAGCCCCCTTGCCATTTCCCACACAAGTGCCAAGACCTCCCACTGTCCTTTCCGCTGAACCCGCTTTTCAGCTTCCTGCGGTGAACTCTAAGCCAGCTACAACAAATTCTGTGTCAGCGATAACTAATTCTCTGTAGCAGCCCTTTGACCCTCCATCCTCGCCCAAGTTTTAGCGGGGAAAGAACAACACATACAAACATTCTGCCAAACAAGAGATAAAAATCAAAGAGGGCGGAACAGATAGGTCTCCGGCCTGAGCCCCGGGTGCTAGACAAGGCCCCTGGCGGCCAAGTGTCCTAACCTGCAACCCAGGTTCCTTTTTGCTATGGGTCGTCCCCTTCTCATACTTCCTCAAGCGCGGTCCTTGCCTCGTCGTGCAGGCTCCCCAGAGGACGTTGGGGATCGGCAGTAGGGACCGCCACCGTGGGGACGTGCAGGATCAGGCCTGGCAGCCCCCTGGAGTCACCGAGGCCAGGAGGCCTACCCGGAAGCGCCGGGGACAAGCCGACGACCGCGACTCACCAGCAGGTTGCTGCTGCGGTTATCCCCCTCCGCCATCGTTTCGGACGCGTAGTCTCAACAGGCAGAACACACCCTTTCACCGACACCCGCACGCCGACCGGAGCGCGAGGGAACGCCCCGCAGGCTGCTTATGTAGGCTGGCAGTCTTTCCCGACAGCCCTCGCGAAGCTCGCTCCTCATTGGATAGAGGGCACCACAGCTTCAGGGAAGCCAGGCCAACCGGCAGCCAGTGCATGACTTGAAAACCAGGTCAAAGGAGAGGGAAGCTGCGCGGAGCCGAAGGACTCCGGCCAATCAGAGTATAGGGGTGTGACCCGCTGGAGGCGGGGCGAAAGGGAGCGGTTCAACCGCCGTCCCAAGTCTCCCGTCTGGATGGATCTCAAGGCCTTTGGGGCGCCTGTCAGCCTGGCGGGGAGTGGAGTATGCGCAGAGCTGAGCCTACAGCTGATAGAAGGGCAGAGGACGCTTTAGGCTTCTGTGGCACCTGCTTAAGATTTATGACTAGAAGGCTAGCAGCCCCCGTGTGAGAACTGCTGCAGTCATCCCGCCAGCAGTAACAAGATGCACCGACTTATATAGGCCTTCTTTTCCAGCCAGTCTTGGGGGGAATCGTTTGTGGCAAGTTGATAAAACTATGCTACTGGTGCGCTTCAGATGGAGGAATGGCTAGATGAATGAGTAATTCAGATGAAGTGGGTGTGAGGGGAAGCCATGCAAAATATTGGCCTCAAATGTTTTACATTTAAATTATTAAATAATTCGTTCCTTAAGTAATTACCAGGTTCTTTAAAGTACTGAGAGACTTTTAGGAAACTTTAAAGGCCACACACAGTGCTCCTAAATAAGCCTGGCCTTACCTGGAGCATGATGGTTCTATAAAAGGGGCATATAGTTTGTCACAGACCTTGTGGAGAGTACTTGGATAAGGTACTAACAAAACACAGTTTTGGCTAGGAAGCTGGGGTGAAGTGCTACTTAGAGGAATTGTGTGTGTGTGTGTGTGTGTGTGTGTGTGTGTGTGTGTGTGTGTGTTTGGGGGGGGTTTGATAAAATGACTGGGTTGATAAGAGAAACCTTACCAGTGAAGCCTAGAGAATTTCCTCCTGAACCTCAGTATTGAGAACAAAAGGACCCAAACAGCTGCTACACAGGTAAAGCATCAAGGTGCCCTTCTTGCTGGTAGCTCAGGAGCACCCACTTTCATAAGAGGAAGGAGTACTAATAGGCTTTAAAATCTATCATTTCTACCTTGGGAATTAGGCTGTTGCTTCAGAAAGCTGTAAAGGCCAGCTGCTGAGACTGAGGTAGATGAAAGGAAGTCCAATAGCACTTTGTCTAGAGCACTTTTGTTGTGTATTATTCCCAGATCCAGGTACAAAGCCAGCTCTCACTAACCTTCCATAAGGCCCAGGAATTAACAACACTCTTCTGATTTTGTACCACGATAAGTTATCTCTTGAAATGTACCAAATGATGAAGCCCTTATCACAAATCTTCCTCAGAACCTTGGCAAAGCAAATTAACTCAGCCAAACACTTCTGTCAGAGCTTTCACTCCCAATAATGGTCTGCCAGATTTTTTTTTTAATATTGCCAAAATTAAGCTTCATACATTGCCTTTTGTTTTCAAAACAGGGTTTCTCTTTGTAGCCCCAGCTATTCTGGAATTTGCTTTGTAGACCAGGCTGGCCTTGAATTGAGAGATCAACTACCTTTCCCTCTCCTAGATTAAAGGCATTGATTCTTATCAAGGAACGTTCCTATTGAAATAAAATTTTCACCGTTCAAAAATGGAGTAAAATAATCTTTTTTGAGATTTTTTTTTTTAAATTTAGAGAGATAATAGAAAAGCCACAAAACTATGTGTTTCAAAACAAACTTTCTGGATCTACTTCAATAAATTCAGAACTTAAATACTGTATCTTTAAAGACTTGAACTTTTATTTTTTGAAAAACAGGTATTTCATACAATCTTTATCATGTTAATGCAAAGTAGGCATTTTTTTTCCAAAAGATGCATTATGGACATTTTCAGGAAGCTGGTGTGATTTATTCAACTTTTAATCTTAAATACAAGCACAAAATTATATCCATCAGGAGGCATTACAACTTAAAAAAAAAAGCCACTATTTGTACAATGTTACTAGGACAAGGAAGATTCAGCTCAACTCAACTTGCTCTTAAATAAGGGTTAAAAAAAAAAAAAAATCAAACATAAAATGTGATGTCATTGCCACCTGACATTCCAGGTGGAAACATAAGGGACTTGTAAAACTGGAAAAATAAGCAACACAGTAATCTGAAACAGGAGCTGAATCAGACACATCAGGAAAAGGGAAAACAACCACTTAATCAGCTTGTTTTGAGAAGGGAAAATGTTTCAGAACAATATCCAATTCTTTACTATCTTCAAATATCCCACTCATTTTGAGTTTTTAACACTAACACTAGAATTTCCAATTCTCAAGGATTCCCTACACAGTTGCCTTTTTGAACCTAGGCTCAGTTTGCTTTATGTAAATAATGTTATCCAGGCCCAAAAGCAGGCCTTTTCTTGAATCTTATCAAAGTGTTGCAATGCTCACTAGTACCTATCCTACCAAGTTAACTGAAGATGAAGACTTCAGTGACTAGTGCGTTAATTTTTGCCTCCTTGATTTGGCGGGGGAGGGTTCTAAATTACATTTTATAAATTCAAGAAGATATAAAACAATGTTAGTTTTTGTACTCATCTGAACACATGTGAAACAAAGATGCTTCAGTGTACTAGTTGTAAGGGCTAGGATGTATATAGCTCAGGGGTAGAGCACTTGCCTAGCATGTGCAAGGTTCCATCCCTGCACTGCAGGAAATCCAGCTAATAGCATCACAGCACTGACATCTGCTGTGTATGAATAGGAGTTGCAGGTTAGTTGTAGGTGTGTTCATTACTAAGAAAAGAATTGAGAGAAAAGAAGAACCAGCTCCTTTTAGTACTGCACAAGTAAGCCCCGAGTAACTACAAAAAGGTGGAGGGAAATAGGCCAGGAAGACTCTGATTTAAAGTACCGCCTATAATACCCCAGATTAAAAAGGACCCAAGACTGCACATCAACTCTAATATTTGGCTGTACTTGCATTGCCCTGCTTGGCATTTATTAAATGGCTCTTTCCTTAAATTTCACACATCAAAACAACCACAAACAAAAAACAATGTAGATAACACCAAACATTGGACAATATTAAGAAAACTTAAGTTTAGGTAACAGAGGCAAGTGTTAAGGGCAAAGTGAAGGGAGTTTTTCCTTTGTATTATAAACTCTCACCCTGAATTTGGGATTTGATCTCTGATTCAGTGATCTTAGAAAGTGGATCAAGACCTATCAGTTTCACACAAAAACCTCCATGTCAAAAAAACTCTCCACCAGTGTCAAAAGAAACCATCTAGCCAACTGCATGATCAGCTCATGACTAGAAACAAACTACAAGACACTTTGGTAATGGAAGAAATTGTTTTGTAAGTACTAGGCTTCCATAGCATAGTAAAGAAATCAACTGAAAACAGATTCTAGCTAAGGACAAGAAAACACAATACGTCTCAATTCTCAAGGGTACTCTGAATTAGAAGAGGTTGTATGTACGGTTGTTCTGTACCCCCTGAATCAAAGAGTGGAGAGAGAAGGAAGATAGAAAGTACGGAGTAGAGGGGTAGGGAATAGGGAGAGGAAGGGTTGGAGAAGAAAATATCCCTGGTTTTCCACAGGTATTTTGTCATCAAAAAAATGTGTGACTTCAAAACTACAGCACTCTACATGATTTATTAAGACATTCCCCCAATGGCCCTATTTTTTCCACTTGAGGCTTCTTACAAAAGCTCAACCTGGCAAGGCTAATGGCACAGGAAGCCAAACCATATAGTTGAGGGTTTTGTCCAGAGTGCAGTGAGCAGCAAGCTTTTAAGTCCTTGGTTGCTCTTATTCCTGTAACCAAGAACTACTCTTCTCTCAGAAACCAGTTTAAAATAGAAAGGATGGATAATCCAACTGAGGCACATTTTTTTTTTTTTTAAAGCTGTCATATTTTTGCTTGGATTAAGGTACCCAGGTACTTCTGATGCCTTAAACTCATGGATGCCTGAAGCCATTTCTGACCACTACTACCACCTACAAGGACAAATAAGTATGAGCTGGCTTTATCATTATAATAAAAGTTCTTCCTGGCATGAAGAATGGCTGAAAATGACAAATCTTGAGAGTACAGTTGCCCTCAATGCCTCTACGGAAGAAAGCAGCATGCAAAATACAGTATGGCATCAATATTCCAGCTAGGCTGTTTTGTGAAAATAAGGCTCAAAATCAAGAATAAAATCAAATGCAATGAAAAGTTCCTTGTCACTGAACACATGGAGATTCAAAACAGCGTCTTCCAATACTCATAATTAAGAAAGTGCTGACAATGACATCCATCCTGTAAGGATTAGAATTAAACTCATAGCAATCAGAGAAGAGCCCAGAGCCACATGGAGTGCTTCCATAGGACCTTTCAGGCTTGTGTGTAGAGGCTGGCAAATACAAGTGGCCACTGCACTAATTGCTAGAATGCTGGGGAAACAGACAAAATACTGTGTGCTATTCTGTGTTGAAACGTGATTTTTAGTTCTATTCTAGTCTGGACTTCTATAGAGGATCAGCAGTGAGTACTGAAAATGCTAAACTGAAGGATGCCTTGATCGTGACTCACTACACTAGTCACTCAACAGTAGCTATAAAATGACGCAGAAAGTAAACAGAACCCCTCACAGACCACCAGCTGAACTTAAAGGTGCTGGTTGGCATCACTTCGCATGCCCCCAAATGCCAGGTAAATTAAAGCACTTTTAATTTACACCTTAAAACGTAAAAGAAAATTACACTTTGTAAATTAAAAGTATCAAATGAGAAAACTGAATTAAAAAACATTTCACTCTACCTCCACCAGAATATCACTTTATTGTGAACCTGTCATCAACAATGCAAACTCCAATAGGTTCTCTATCCTGGCTGTTTAAAAGGTAAAAGATTACATCAGATCAGCTACTTTCTATGAAAGAAACTACAGCAATCACAGAAGAAGGAAAATTTGAATGACCTCCAAAAAATGCACACTGTAAGCAGAGGGGAGTGCACATGAAATCAGTGTCTGTTAGAC